TGTTCATTGTGTGCTAAGCACTTTATGTATTTTATGGGAGATTGAACAAGTGGGGCAACTGAGGTCTGCTAAGCAGTAGCCATGATAAAAGGCCTTGACTGGGACCTCAGCATTCCTTGTTGGGGGAATTAATTAGCTATTGCTGCATGAGAAACTATCCTACAATTATTATCGTCTTAAAACAATAATAAATACCTGTCTCACATAGTTTCTGCGGGTCAGGGAATGAGAAACAGCTTAACTGGGTGGCTCTGGCTTGGTGCTTCTTGTGATATTACTCCAAGATATTGGCTGGGGATGCCGTCTTATCTGAAGTCATGACTGTAGTTGGAGAATCTGCTTTCAAGGTTGCTCTCTCGCATGACTGGCAAGTTAGAAAGCTGGCTATTGGCAGGAGACCTGTCTTTCACCTCCTTAGGACCTCTCCTCAGGGCTACTTGAGGTTCCTCACAACATGGTGACTGCCTCCTTCTGGAGTGATTGATCTAGAGAGCATAAGGTAGAAGCAGCAATGCCTTTTATGCCCTTGCCTCAAAAATCACATATCACCACTTCACAATATCCTATTTGTTAAAAGCGAGTCACTCAGTATGGCCCAAGTTCAAGCGGAGGGCAATCAGTTTCTCTTTTTTAAAGAAAGATGGGTCAAATAATTTGTAGCTGTATTTTAAAACCACACTCTTGAACCTCTGAAACCTCTTCTCCAGGGCTCAGAACACCATAGGGGCTCAGCAAGTACGGTTGCCTTAACCAGGTGGGTGCTAAGACCAACCACAGGGAGAAGAGCTCACCTGTCTGCCCCTCCTTCTAGGTCCATATTTCAGGCTTAATGTCTTCTGCCATAGATGGTTATTTTCAACTCACCCTGTTTCATTTTGCTGGCCCAAAGAATGCTCTGAGACTTGGGTGGGGATGAAGGATCTCCTGCCTCCATGGGGCCAGTCCCCTAAGGAATGCTTACTTCTTTCCTCTCCTTCAGCTGCACGTAGCTGGCGCCAACGGATTCCTGCGGGCAGCTGAGCTCCTCCTGGACCATGGAGTGCGTGTGGATGTGAAGGACTGGGATGGCTGGGAGCCCCTGCATGCAGCTGCCTTCTGGGGACAGGTAGTTCCTACCCACAGGGCTGTGGGGGAGGCCAGCACAGGGTTATCCTGTGGTTGCGAAGTCCTCTGGGCTGGCAATAGGTTCAGAAGGCTCATTGAAGGTGTTGACTACTGCTAGTATGTGGGTTATGTAAAGGCCTAAGGAGTTTGCAAAAACGTTTGGCAGGTTGTGCCCCCATGGAATGGTAATCACATTTACCAAATTAGAAAATTCCCAGCATTTGTGCTTTGAGTAGTCTCTCCCTTTGTTTCCAGATATAAAACTCTGCCTGCAGCTTATGCAGTCTCTCCTGATATCTGTCAGCTCTGGAGTTTTAGCTGACTTCTCCTGTGTCTTGTTATGGCCCAGGCATACTGGAGGAGGTGCTAAGCCCAGTGCATTTGCCCAGATTCCCCCATGACTCCAGGGTGCAGGTCTTCTCTGGGAATCAGCTTTGCCCCACCATTCCTTGAGCCACATCCTAAGAGGCCTTGGGCACTCTCTCCACTTTTTAGGTTTTTTAAGCCCTGGGCAGGTGGAACATGGGTTTATTCCTGTGTTTCAGATGCAGATGGCAGAGTTATTGGTGTCCCATGGAGCTAGTCTCAGTGCAAGGACATCCATGGATGAGATGCCAATAGGTGAGTCCAATACAACATATCAGCAGTCATCAATTTTTGATGAGTGGAGAGATAAATGGATAGATATATGGTTGGATAAATTGATGAATTGAGGCATAGATAGATGGATGAATGAATAAATTAGTGGATGGTAGATTAATGGACAGATGGAGGGATGGATGTATGGATGGATGGACGAGTGGGGTAGATGGGTAGATGTACAGTTGAATAGATGAGTGGATGGATAGATGAATAAATAGATGGATGGGTAAAGGACAAATCTATGGATGGATGACTCAATCACAAATAGGTAGATAAATGGATGAAGATGGATAGAGTGGGTGGGTTATATGGATATCTCAGCATCTTCACAAAATTTCTTGCTTGGGCTGCGTGGGGCACCTGCTTTTTTCTTTTAATACTTCTCATGTCAGTGAAAACTTGATGACTCTTCTTGGAATCTGTCAAAGAGGAGTGTGAACCTCTTGGTTGTAGCTGGGAACCTTAGGAGTTGTACATGGAACTTGGATTTCCCATTCCCACAGTCCTCTAAGTATTGGGTCATAGTCCAGGAACTAAGGCTGGCATTGTTCTCTTCCCTCCCTGCGTGCCCAGAAGATGCCTATAGTTTTCAGTAGGTTGGGGCGGCAGTTCCTCTGGTCTGGAGCACCTTCCTGGGCCACAGGCCCCTCCCCTGTCCCGCACAACTGACCCCTTTGTCCCTTCAGACCTATGTGAGGAGGAAGAGTTTAAGGTCCTGTTGCTGGAGCTAAAACACAAGCACGATGTGATCATGAAGTCACAGCTGAGGCACAAGTCATCTCTGAGCCGGAGGACGTCCAGCGCTGGCAGCCGTGGGTAAGTCAGGGGCAGCACAATCAGGGGTCCCAATGCATACTTCTGCCTGTGGTGCCTGGGCACAGACTTCAGCACTGCCTCTGTCCCCCTAGGAAGGTGGTACGTCGAGCCAGCCTATCGGACAGGACCAACCTGTACAGGAAGGAGTATGAGGGAGAGGCCATCCTGTGGCAGCAGCGGAGTGCAGCTGAGGATCAGAGGACCTCGACCTACAATGGGGACATCAGGGAGACCAGGACAGACCAAGAGAACAAGGACCCTGTGAGTGGCCTCATGCCCCGCCCCAGTGTCAGCCACTGCCTTGGGAGGAGGGCAGGGCCCCAGCCCAGTCTTGCATCTTTATCTGAGGGCCTTCTGAAGGAAGTAGCTGGGCAATGCCCTTAAAACAGCAGATCCAGTCTAATGGTGGTGGCTCCTTTAGTTAATGAGGTGACCCTGGGTTTGTTAGAGGCTAAGCTGGGAGCTTCGGCACACAGGAAGGTCTCCTAATTGGTAGGGAGCAAGTAACTGCTGTGACCCTGCCTGATCTAGCTGATGGACTTCCCAGAAGAGAGGTTCAATAGGGCAGTGCCTACCTGACCTAGCTGTGGGCTTCCCAGAAGAGAGGTTCAGTAGGGCAGTTACCCAGGAGCTGAGGGCAATAAAACTTTTTTGGAGAAGAAATAGAACAAGATGTTGATAATTGTGCTTATCAAAACACCTGTGACTAGAAGAAAATTTTTGAAAACTGGATATAGTCTCAGAAAGACCTCTGGGAAACTTGCCCTAGTAGCAGCCGGTGGGCCTGCACTTTGAACTGCCTTCCTAAGAGTAGTATGTGTGTTTGTTTTCTGTGGTTGCTGTTATAAATTTTCATAATCTAGGTGGCTTAAAACAGCAGAAATTTATTATTTCACAGTTCTGGAGACCAGAAATCTAAAATCAAGGTATCAACAGAGTTGATTTCCTCTGGAGGCTTTGATTTTTTTTTTAGAAATGAAGTCTTGCTATGGGCTCAAGCAGTCTTCCTGCCTCAGCCTCCCAAAGTTCTGGGATCACAGGTGTGAGCCACTGTACCTGGCTCTGAAGGGAAATCTAGTCCATGCCTCCCTTCTAGCTTTTGGTGGCTCAGGCGATCCTTGGCTTTTGATGAAATGACACTAGTCTCCGCCTCCATCTGCACAAGGCTTTCTTCTTTATGTGTCTATATCTCTGTTTTCTCTTCTTCTTTGGATTGGCCCATGCCAATCCAGTATGCCGTCTTAATTTAGCTTATCATTACTGCAGATACCTATCTCCAAATAAAGTCACTTTCAGAGATTCCAGGTGGGCATGGATTTTTGAGGGATGCCTTTCAGCCCAGAACCAACTCTCTCGGCATGATTGCTTTCTTGCTGAGTGGGGTGAACAAGTTTAGGGCCAGAGTGGAATTGCAGAAGACAAGATGGGAGGAGCTAACTGCATCAGGAGTGGTCTGCTGTTTGGGTTTTCCTCCCACCCCGTGAATGATGAAAAAACTTCTAGAGAGTGTAGCTTCGGTGGGATGTAATTGATTAGCTGCTGATGTGTCTCAGTGGGACCTGCTTCACAGTGTGAACAGTGAGGTCACCCACCAGCTGTCTCATCAACAGAAGGGAATCCCCATCAAAGCTGCCAGCTAGGGATGGAGAGAGCACACAGGGAAGCTTTGTTCTGCCTGGTTGATGGTTGGGCAGGGGAAAGACTTGTAGATCAAAATCACAACCTGATTCAGATGCCTTCCAGCTATGCTTCTTGTGCTTTTTCTTTGTGATTGAGGCTTAATTGCAGTAGACACATCTTAAATGTTTTCAATGAATTTTTACAAATGTATACACTCAAATACATAGAGCACTTTCATCACCCATGTCCCCTCTCAGTCAGCTCCTCCCCATCTCAGCCAAAGGTAGCTGCTATTTAACTTTGAGCACTGAAGGTTAGCTTTATATATGCATATGCCATATGCATGGACCCATGCAGTTCATCATTTTTTGTATCTGGTTTCTTTTATGTCTGTGAGAGTCATCCATGTTATGGCATCTAGCAGTAGTTCATCCTTTTTCATTGCTCTATAGAGTTTTATTGTTTGAATGTTACAATTAACATATCAGGCCAGGCTCAGTGGCTCAGCCTGTAATCCCAGCACTTTGGGAGGCTGAGGCGAGAGGATTGCCTGAGCTCAGGGGTTCGAGACTAGCCTGGGCAACTTGGTGAGACCTCGTCTCTACAATAAATCAAAAAATAAGCCAGGTGTGAAAAAAAAATTTGCATATCAATTCTCTTATTGGTGGACATTTGGGTTGTGTCTAGTTTGTAGCTACTATGAATAAAGCTGCTATAAACATTTTGCACCAGCCCATCAAGTGTGGTGTCACCCACCTGTGGTCCTAGCACTTTGGGAGGCTGAGGTGAGATAATCACTTGAGCCTGGGAGTTTGTGACCAGCCTGGGCAACATAGCGAGATCCCATCTCTGTAAAAAACAAAAACATTAAAAAAAAATTTTTTGTATTGTTTTGTACCTTTAGTGGACATAGGCATCATGTTGTATTGGGTGTACATGGAGTAGGCATATGTTTAGCTTTAGGAGATACTACCAAACACTTTTCCATCAGCAGTTGTAGGAGTGCTTCTTACCAACCTTTGGAATAGTCAGTCCTTTTAACTGGAGCCATCCAGGGTGGCTCCTGTAGTTAATGAGGTGAACCTGGGGAGTGTTAGAGGCCAAGCTTGGAGCTTCAGCACACAGAAGGGCCTCCTAATTGGCAGGGAGCAAGGGTGGGGAGGTCGCTGTTGTGTTTTGAAATTTGTATTTCCCTGATGATAGATGATGTTGAACATATATATTTTCATAGGTTTATTGGCCATTTGGTGATCCTTTTGGGTGTGGCATCTGTTCTTTTGGCCTTTTTGTTGGGTTGTTTTTATTTTCCTTGTTGATTTGTAAGAGGGACTGAGATTCCTTAAAGAAATCTTCAAGGAAGGAGTCCCTCCTCCACTCTTGCTGTGTTCCTGTGTTTGTTCAAATCTCACAGGTCCCAGGACTCCCCCAGAAGTGCTCATTGATGTGGAGTCTTAGAAATCGTTAAGCCTATAGGAAACAGGGCAGGGGCAAATGGCAGTTGGGGACCACCCTGAGTTAGGCCTGATCTTGTTGTTGTTCATTTCCAAGGCTTCCTTATGAAGGATGCAGTTTGTTTGGGGTTAGGTAAGGCAAAAGGATGGGCTATTTTGCCTCTAAGGCTGGGTTTTTCAGGGCGAGGGAAGAGACAAGAAGGAACTGAGATGGCATAACCTTCTGGCTGGGGCAGGCAGGCCTCACCTTGGTTACCCTGCAGTCCTACCCCAGAGCAACTCTCAGGACCTAGGACTCCGGATCCCAGGCCCTGCCCCCAGGAAACAAGGCCATCACAGAGCCTTGCTACAAAGCTCCACCCCAACTCTTCTTTCATCCTTTTAAGGTTTTAGGTCCTGGGAAGGTGTTTTCTAAAGTAGGAATTCTCAAAGTGTGGTCTCTGGACCAGCAGCATCAGCATTACCTGGCAACTTTTTAAAAATGCAGATTCTCAGGCCCCACTCCGATGTGGTGATTCTAACGCACATACACATTTCAGAACCACTTATCTAACGGAGTATTTGTTCAACCTGACCCCCAAGGCAGGCTCTTCCCTGTTAACCCTCAGGGATGACTTTAGTTCATGCTTTGGCAGAACTGACTCCCTGGTACCAGGCACAGCAGTGATGGTAGCCCTAGTCTCTTCAACTGGTGGTTCACAAACTCAGCTATCAATATAATCACCTGGGGAGATGTTATTGCTGTTGTTTAATCCTGATGTCTAAGTAACCGTCCTGAATGATTAAATCAGAATCTCAGGAGTTGGGACCTAGGCATTGTGTGTGTATGTTTAGCTAAAAAAGACACTTTTGGAAATTGTTGTAGAATACTTCGATTACCAAACTGGCAAGGATCTCAGAGGTCAGGGAGAAAGGAGTTTGTTTTCAGGGTGGAGGACAGAGGCTGGAAGGACTGAAAGTGAGGGATGGAATAAGCAGGTATATGTCCCAGGCGGCCTGTTTCCAGAAGCATTTTCAGGAGAGCTACTCTGCTTTATGGTACTTGTTTTACTCTCAGAGGTGAGTTAAAGTTCAGGACCCTGTAGAGAGGAGAGCAACTTAAGACTGTCATTTAACAAGCATTTCATTTCAGCTGGTAAGTGCGAGAAACAGTTCAGCTATCACTGAAGAGAAGTAGAATGAGAATTCGGGGGACTGTGTCTGAGTTGTCCTAGGAAAAGGAGGGGTCATCCGAGTATTCTAGAAATCACATGGGAAAGGATGATTCTGTACAGTGAACCCTTCCCCAGAATACAAAGGGTATGGGGCTTTCTCTAGTCTTCCTGTTTTCTAGTATCTCATGGTTCACATAAAGTTCAGCTTTGTGGAGATGATTGTGTGTACTACGGAGGTGTTCTAGGATCTATCGTGTTCTTATCTGTACAGTGCTCAGCCCATAATTTATGCCTTGTTACGTACTAGGCATACAAACGCTCTTAGATGTCACTGGTATCCTCTCTTCCCTCTAACCTGCATTCTTCATGCTGTGACTGTTCTCTCTACCTTCAGAGCTCTCATTTCTGACACTGAAGATGGATATATGTGGTTTGTTTTAACTGGTCAACTATTTCTTCAAGCAGCTTTAGATTTAAAGAAAAATAAGTGGAAAGTACAGATAATTTTCATATACCCTCATTATGCCCCCCATTTCTAACATTTTCCTTTAGTGTAGCATACATGTTATCACTGATGAGTCAATATTGATACATTATTATGAACTAAAGCCCATGGTTTACATCTTGTGTTGTACATTCTGTGGGTTTTGACAAGTGCATGATGTCACATACCTATCAGTATAGGACCATAGAGAATGCTTTCACTGCCTAAATATCCCTGGTACTTTACTCATGTTTTTTCCCCAAGCCCTGGCAAATACTGATCTTTTACTATCTCCCTAGTCTTGGCCTTTTCCAGAATGTCATATAGTTAGAATCATATAATATGTGATCTTTCTTTTTAGGCTAGGCTGGGTGGCTCAGCCTATAATCCCAGCACTTTGGGAGACTGAAGCTAGTTGATTGTCTGAGCCTGTGGGTTCGAGACTAGCCTGGGCAACTTGACGAGATCTTGTCTCTACAATAAAATAAAAAATAACCAGACATGGTAGCCGCATCTGTAGTTCTGGCTACTCGGAAGGCTAAGGCGTAAGGA